CACACACATACGTGTCAACACGTTCGTTTATTTTTACATTTGAAAGTTTAAAAAAAAAAGAAATCAGAATTATATTTTAATTAATTATATTTTACTAATTATCTAATATTGTACATCTTACACTCTTTTTCACAATTTTCACTTTATTATTTACTCAAAATGCGTAATGCCACATTCAAATTTCATCGTCTCGCAAATAAATTCAGTATATCACAGGGATCTTATCCTATACTAATAAAAAATTATATTTTTCATACTTGTAAAAATACCTATCGTATGTTTTATCTCTAAAATCTCTGCTTTATTATTTGCTTGAAATGTGAGATGCAGCCTTAACACCGTTAAAAGGCATGTTTGCACGTATTACGAGTAAGAAATATTTCGACCACGTTTATAGGTTAGGTCGACAAATGTACTTGCGTGGAGAGGTTAAAAAAAGAAGGATATTTGCGTTCGGTACCTGCCGAAATCTTCGGCATAATCTGCTCGGTGCCCACACGGAGGAAGCAGTGCATTGTACTCCGAAGTGGAGTCCATTCCTCGCTCATCTCCCGTGCATACCATCTCTACCTAAAGACCCGATGAGGGCGGAAACACGTGGGCGATCGAGCACGCGTATAATGGTTACACGGCGCAGCCGGGCCTGCTCGAGTGGCCGCTAAACTGCGATGTTTATGCAGTCCGGTTGTAACGATGCACGCCGATATAATGCACCCACATCGCCGGCGGGACGACGCATGCCACTTGTCCCGCTTCGCTGTCCGACGCCCGCCGGCAGTGCGATCCGCCGCCAGATAGCGCGGCGAGCGCCGCCGTCACGGCGAACAACGGGCCGATTTTACTGGAAAGTATCTGGTTTACGGTCCCGAGAGGCCGGCCAACTTTGCGTTCCGTGAAAAAGACGAACTGGATCGCCTCGATTCGCATCGATGAAGGCGAAGGACGAAGCTGATTGCCGCCGGAGAAAGGGATCCTCTGTGCACGCTTATATTGGTGGTTTCGTAAATACGGGCTTGCCTCGAGGTGGACGCAGTTTGAGGTTATGTCCAGGTTCGTTGCGACCCTGTGAAAGTGGAAGTGAGGATTTTGCGGTGGAGCAGTTGGCATTATTTGCATCGCCAACTTTTAATTTGGGAATATTTCCTTTCTTTTTCTTTTTTTTTTCTTTTTTTTGTTTGGGGTCTTATGGGATTTTTTGGAATTTTGTGGAATTCAAATTGCAAGTTATAGAAGTGGGAAATTAAAATTGGTTTTAGGGAGTGAGTTTTAATGTCGGAATAATACCTTCCTTTTTCTTTAAAGGTATTTAGGATTTTTTTCTCTTTTTTTTTTCTTCTTTTGGGTCTTATGGGATTTTTTGGAATTTTGTGCAATTCAAATTGCGAGTTATGGAAGTGGGAAATTAAAATTGGTTTTGAAGTGTGAATTTTAATTTAGGAAAAGTACCTTTCTTTTTCTTTGAAGGTATTTGGGACTTTTTCCTCTTTTTGTTTCTTCTTTTGGGTCTTATGGAATTTTTTGGAATTTTGTGCAATTGAAATTGCGAGTTATAGAAGTAGTGAATTAAAATTGGTTTTGAAATGTGAATTTCAATTTAGGAATAATATCTTTCTTTTTCTTTAAGGGTATTTGGGACCTTTTCCTCTTTATTTTTTTCTTTGGGGCCTTATGGAATTTTTTCGACTGTTGTGCAACTGAAATCATGAGTTATGGATGTGGGAAATTAAAATTAGTTTTGGAGAGTGAATTTTAATTTGCATCTTGAACAGATGAGGGTCCCAAAATACTCAAAACAAATCCAGCAAATCATCCCCACTCATGAAAATGGAAAGATTCGGAACCTAGTCGAAAATATCTCTATAAATCACCAACTTCCTTTCAACGCGCTGTTCCTCCATCTCGATCAGCTGAAGGAGGCGGACCGGAAGCGAAGAAGCTGGCGTCGCCACGCAGTCGAATTAACATTCCACCCTAAAAACAAGTTCCCAGAGTTCACTGGAAGTGTGCTGGCCGGCTGCTGGCATAAAATTCAATTTATTCTCCCTTGTTTGTTCTCACCGTTGGGGGAGATCGGCGTCGATAACAGATTCTCCTGGCGTAGGCCATGATTCCATAACAATATGGAAGAGGACTTGGAACCGTTAGCTTCGCTTGTCCCCTCGGCTTCCCGTTTCCGGAACCGTGGCACGCCGCGTTAAGAGCTTCTGGGAACGCGGAAACCACGAGGTGTTACGTAACCCCGGAATGCCGCCATATTACCTTCAATCCCGACATCGTAAATATTTTTCGCCATATTATGCGGGAATACTCGTTGCTCGGCGTACCTGCGCCGCGTTTATTATATCTCGGTGCACACCACACTCAAAACTCGCGGCCATAAACGTGACAAAATGGCCGCACATCTTACGACTTCCTAAGCGGTATATCTGGGATTAGAAATTTATTCGAGTTCAGATCGGAATATTAAATGCGTATTATTGATAATAATATTGATAAGGATATAAATAATATAATAAATTGGCGTTTGTAAAATATTCTTTTATAATAATATAATATAAAATATATATAAAATTAATATTCTTTTATTATATTATTGGAATTAGGGTGTCATCGTGGTGGGGAAGGTTTCGAAAAATAATAGTGGGAAAAAGATTGCATGATTGGGGATAGAATCCGAGTTGGCAATTTTTTCAATGTTTTTGCAAGAAAATAATACTTTATTACAAGCAAGCTACATTCGCAAAAAGTTGCATAATTTGCATTGGTCCCAGGGGGCCCTGAAGCTCCAATTATTTTTTTTTTTTTTAATTTCCGCTTCCCCCAAAAAATTCTCACTACTATTAAAAGAAGAAAGATGCTTTATTAAAAGAAACGTACATTCGCAAAAATTTGCGTAATTTGCATTGATCCCAGGAAACACTAAAGCTCCAATTATTATTTCTTTTTTAATTTCCGCTGCTCCCAAAAAATTCTCACTATTATTAAAAAATGAATGGTGCTTTGTTAAAAGAAACGTACATTCGCAAAAATTTGCGTAATTTGCATTGATCCCAGGAAACACTAAAGCTCCAATTATTATTTCTTTTTTAATTTCCGCTGCTCCCAAAAAATTCTCACTATTATTAAAAAATGAATGGTGCTTTGTTAAAAGAAACGTACATTCGCAAATATTTGCAGAACGTGCATTGGTCCCAGGAGACACCGAAGCCACAGGGTGTACTGTAACACAGGAGACACGAATCTTCCGCCATGTTTATTACATCTAGTTACTCAAAAGTCCCTAGCAGCGACCGTTTCGCATCGTCCTAGTGGCAACAACGTAGTTAATTATCGGCTATCTGTTGGAATTAATCTGGTTTGCCCCGGCTGGCTTGCTATCCAGGTAATAATAATCTCCCGGTATTCGTTCATTTATCACGCTGCTACAATAAGGAGATAAGAACGCGTGCATTGTGCTGCTGCGTCCGTGATAAGTGCTGAATATTAACAATGCATGTATCTCGACCTTTGCCAGCCGTTGGTACCGTTCATTAGCGGTAATGGGGATTGTATATTCAATTATCAATTGTTTCCTCAAATTAATTTCGTGTTCCTGGATTAGCTCTGGATCAGAGAGAATTGTACCAACGTGGAACGCTTGCTGTTACCAGGCTCAGGCTACCTCTTGAGAACAGCCTTTCTCGTCCTCCTGCTAACATTTACCGTCTAATTCGCGTTCATCAACGGTTTTACTATTCCATTTAACGCATGACACCAGCTTCTGAACGTGAAAATTAATTTTTCCGCGAATTTTGACAGTCGAAGGAACTATTCTTTGGCCTATTTTGGCATAAGCAGATTTGAAATAGGAATTTAACAGGAGTTTAGAATTTTTCGTCCTTCCTCACTCGAATGCGTTATTTCTGCTTCGATATCTCTCATTGTTCCATTTTATTAAGATTCTACTATTTGTTTCTTCACTGGTTATTTGGTTAATGTAAGTTTATTGTCAGAGGTGAGAGAATTATGTGCAGTTTAATCTTCCTTCTCTAATGAGGTATTTTTAAAGCATAATTTTGTATAATAGAAGTCAGATTGACCTAATAGTAGCATGTGAGAAGGTCTAACATATGGTCTGTGGACACCCCAAACTGGAGAGGCTCCTCATACCAATTTTATGGATTTTTCATACAGTGATTAAGGACTCTAGGGATTTAAAAATCATATGTGTATTATGGAATCTTCCTCAACTTGGAAGTCATCCCCAAAGAGACAATTAAGAACACATCTAATGTGACATGCAACAAAAATTATGCTATGGATAATAGGAAAACATCAGAAGGTCTAAGGTCTTCTCTATGCACACCTCAAACTAGAGAGACTTCTTATACAAATTTCTCATACAGAGAAAATTATATATGTACTTTCGAATCTTCTTCATTCAACAAGTCATTCCAAGTGTCTAAAAGACTTTATATGCTTTGTAGTTGAGAGATCCTCATATATTCAAGCGTTATAGTAGATATCTATTAACCTGTCATGACTGCAGTAAGAACTCTAACCATGTCAATTCCTCAAAACCATGTATATACCTCATCATCTTCAAAACGTGATCAAGAACACTCTTGAAAAGAATCAAACGATCCTCCAGACTCTTTCAGACAGGTCTCCATGACATGTCCACGTGGTATCAAGCCGTCAGACTGCAAACATAACTCTCACATAGTAAATCATTCCCAAATCTGTACATACTCAAAGTTCATTCTCAGACTCTTCCTTCACGTGTCAAGGCATCACAAAGGACCCCACAACGTGACCACGTGATAACAACCCTATCAATCCTCTAAGAATCGCCATGTACATGCCTCTCCTGTTACATCTGACATCGTCTCATCCAAAAACGAAGGTTCCAATGACACCTAGACTGTACCTCCATCTCCTCCACCTACTCCGCGTCACTTACTCGCCCGATAACATCCCCTATCAGACACTTGACGTGAAAAGACCCTTCTGTGTTGCAGGGTCGCGGAGACGTGGCGTCGCTGGTGCGGAACCTGCTCGGGCCGATCTACGGCGACGGCGTTATCAACCTGCTGATAAGGCAGGCCCGTGACATCCTGGTGTGCGCCTATCACGGCAACCTGGACACCTTCCTGAGGACCTATCTGTCCCCGGCCGCGTGCCTGCTGGCGGAAGTGAAGTCGGTGGCCTCCGAAACGGTGAGTGTATTTCCGCAATTCACCCAGGCTTGGCCTGAGGCATCGCGCAGGACCCGTCCAGTGGAACTGGATCGTCCGCGTGGCAGGATAGGTGAAAGAGCGGAGAGAATGCGGCTCTGTCGACGGATTGTTCCGTGAAACGATTAAAGTAATCAGTCCCGTGGCCGGCGACGTCCGAGTATGGCCGGACGCGACAGGATCCAGTTCCCGGCCAATTGCGAAATCCGACTTATCCTCCGGATGACACGGGCTTCTATTTATATAACCGCTGACCGATTTAATCGCCGATGAAAGCGCGGATCGACGAGAAAACCGCCTTTTTGTTCCGCAGTGGTTCAGTTGGTTCGATGGCCGATGCCTCGTAGTGTGGCATTGGAGATAGGGCAGTCTCCGCGACGTCTCGGGAGCCAAGATTCTCGCGTATCTAGGATCGTAGAGGATTTCCTCCTCGAATCAGTCTGGACGATCGTTAACGTGACGTGCTTGCTCTTTAGGTTGAATAGAACTCGCTAGTTTTTGGATGAAGGGACGAAAGAAATGATCCGTTTCGTTCGGGGTCTGCTAGAGAATTCGTTGGCAAGGCTATTTAGCTGACCCGGGCCTCGGACTAGGGATATTATAGGGACATCATAGGGACATCATAGAGATATATATTATAGGAATATCATAGGGATATTATAGGGATATTATAGGGGCATCATAGAGGTATATACTATAGAGATATCATAGGGATATTATAGGGATATTATAAGGGCATCATAGGGATATCTTAGGGATATTATAGGGATATTATAAGGGCATCATAGGGATATCTTAGGGATATTATAGGGATATTATAAGGGCATCATAGGGATATCATAGGGATATTATAGGGATATTATAAGGGCATCATAGGGATATCATAGGGATATTATAGGGATATCATGGGGATATCATAGGGGCATTATAGGTATAGACATTATAGGGATATCACAGGGATATTATAGAGATATTGCAGGGGCATCATAGAGATATACATCATAGGGATATCATAGAGATATTACAGGGACATGATAGAGATATACATCACAGAGATATACATCATAGGGATATTATAGGGATATTATAGAGAAATCGGGATCTTCTACAGTGTGTCCGATAATAACACCACGGGAAAATTACCACTGTCAAATTCTCAAGAAAAAAGAACCCAAAAACTGACGTAACAAGAACTCCGTCCATCCACACACTCAAAATCTCCAAATCGATATTACACGCTATACTAACCGAGTGACGTCTCCGCGAGGCACTCGAGGCATTCCGAGAGACAGTCGAGGGTTAAGCGGGAATTCAATTAAACGCAGAAGAATCGTCGGGGTAGTGGAGAAGAAAGCAACCCTTGCCGGTGGATCGTCGCTAATAACCTCTACCAGTGGCTGGTAACCGGCCTGTCTCGAATCCTTGGCCCCGAGGGTCGCCAGCGCGTGGGAGCACGTGCCCTCGCCGGGTTAATTCGTTTAAGTCGAGGGCCCGCCACGCCAGTCGCACGAGGTGTCTCGAGAGGGGAGACCCCGAACCCCCGCGATTCGTAAACGTTAATTAAAACTCGAGGAAAAGGGACAGTCTTCGCCGACAGGATGGTGGAGCACGTGACGGGATAACCTAATCTCGAAGGATCCATTTGATCCGGAAGAACGCCGCTGTTCAGCGACTAGGCGGAGGTTGGAGGTTAGAGGTTAGAGGTTTGACGAACAAAGACCGGTAATTGGATCGATTCGGCTGATCAAAGTTGCGAGTTTCTGACGCCTAGATGGCGCCTAACTGTCGCAGGGATTGGGGTCTCTGGGGTCGTGAAATCGTAATACAGCTGGCAAGCAGTCGAGTGCGTCGAAAATATGAAGAATGGGGCTCCATTCTTGAGAAAATCAGATTTGTTGCCTCCTTATGGGAGCTACTTGTAGGAACTTACGTGGAGTTTCTGATACCTAGATGGCGCCACTTGTAATAAACTGTTAGCTCAAACTGAAATTCTCACATGATCAAATCAAAAGTTTCTTCTCAGCGAAACGACAGACATCAATACACTCTAATGCATCATTCGAGATCCTTCAGCTTGCCCTAACTCTAGATAATTCTTTTCTCTAGATAATTTCATTTCCTTTCCGCAATTCAGTTTTAAGCTATGGTACCACTGTCAGAACAACACGTCCCAAAGTTCAGTACAAAGATATTTTTCATTTTCCAGTCTCTTGTATTAATTATACAACTCACTCCAGTAGACACTGATGCATCATTCGAAATCCTGCAGGTTGCCCTAGCTGTAGATAATTTTTTTCTCTAGATAATTTCATTTGGTTTCTGCAATTCAATTCCAAACTAGGGTCCCACTATCGGAACAACATGTCCCAAAGTTTGGTACAAAAATATTTTTCATTCCCCAGTCTCTTGTATTAATTATACCACTGACTATACTATACATTGCAACAATCTCTCTGGTCCTTTGTATCTAACCTAACCAAGGTCTCCCAAACCAAATTTTTTCCCTCGCAAAGCAGGCCCTGACACTTCCAACGACTCCAAAGCCCTAAGGCCTAATCAGGCCCAATCAGGCCTCGAACTCTGGCCAGAAATCGCGCGGAAATTTCGAAAATTCAGCTGGCTGACGGGAAACTGCTGGCACAATAGAGGGCACGGCTCGATAAATTGCAAGGAGAAGACCAATAAAGAAAACGACGCGCTCACGACAATTTGGCAGATATGGGGCAGCGATGTCCACGGTGGAAAGCGGAGCGACGCGAGGCTAGCTCGCTCGTTAGCGCAGAATTTCTGAAAGTAGGTAGGCAGAGAAGCTAACCGGCGCGTTCTACCTAATATAGGCGAGCCGCGGCCTTTGTCCGCGTGCAATCACATCCGGTACTGTCGATCTGGAAATTTGTCCGCCGGACTCCTCACCGGTTGATTCGGCTCTGCACCTCGCCGCCATTTTGCGCGCGTCGCGGCCATCTTCGCGACTAGCGCGCTCCCTTTACAGTCAGACGAGCCACGACACCGTAATTCTCTAAACTCTCGTCACCAAGGGTGCCTATGGTACCCCGAAATTTTTTAAAAACGCTCTTTTTGACACTCATGATACTACTCATGCTACGCAAGCTATGACACCGTAATTTTCAAAATTCTCGTCAAAAGGGGTACTTGTATGGTACCCCGAAAATTTTTGGAAATACTGTGTCTGACTAATAATACGACCACTGCTACAAAATTTTCTCAAATCGGACGATATTCGGTAAAACGAGCCATGACACAGTAATTCTCTAAACTCTCGTCACCAAGGGTGCCTATGGTACCCCGAAAATCTGAAGTTAACCCTCTATGGGCCCGTGTAACTTTCAAGTAACATGCTAATGTATGGATATTTTATTAAATACTGCATTCAATGTGGGTCCATTTTTTAAAATTCTAATTCTTTTTCATTTACCTTTTATTCGCTCATGATAGGTTAGGTTCTCTATGGCCCTCTATGACTTTCCTTCCACAAGATGGCGTGGAAAATTATCTTGTCTATCTATTGCACATTATCTTTGCACAATAGCACAAACGTTGTTAATTCAAACTTTCAATATGTACTTGTTATAATAAAATTGTCAAAACTGCTGAATTTATTGGTTGATATTTGTTGATTTTATGTTACATACAATTCTTATCGTCAAGAAAAATATATATTCGGTCCATAGAGGGTTAATATGCTTTTGGGACGAGTCTACGCTCTTGTATCTATTTGTTGCGTCTGTCTCACTTTGTCTCGTTGCTTCGTTCGCTTTCTTTGTCACACGGTGTTCTATGACCGAGCTAATAGGAAGGGATCATTTCTACCAATAAGGGAAGCGCTTTACTCTACTTCTGCCATGACGTTAGAACGGTTGGGTTGGTGGGGATTCGGCCCTACGAGTTTCTCAGATGTCTTCTTTTCAGCCACGCACAGTATATACCGAGATCAGCAAGCCATCAAACGTATCACCTGAAAGAGCCACGGTGCCAGTGACTCGAGCGATCGCAGCGCCACGGCTCTTCCCAGAGAAGATTTATCCCGGCACCCGGCTCGGTGCAGCGGATCGGAAAAACGGGAAAGCGGCAGAGGCGGTATATCAGCGCAATTTGCCAGCGTGCTTTCGATCAATAACTTCCTGCACGATGTATACGGGACGAAACAGGAATTATCCGTCGTTAAACGACGACCGGCTTCGCGGAGCGAAAGGTTGTCGAATGTTGCACCGAGTGAATTACCTACCGGACAAGTAATTCGATAGAGCTCGTTACACCCGTGCCTTGTATCCAATTAAACCCGGCCTGGACTCTGTCTCCGTCTCGCTCGCTCCGCCGCCGGCCCGCCGCTGTCCGTCTCTCTCGCGCTCACGGGCCACCGCGCGACTCGTGATTTTCCGTATACCCTGTTCACGGTGCCCGCCACCACGCGACGCATCCGTAATCGCCGTATCAACCCAGCCGATAACAAGGTT